AAAAAAAAAAAAAAAAGAATGAGAAAGTAGAGTCATTCGTATTGAGGCCATACTCTTAAGTGAAATAAATAGGACACAAACGTGTAAATACTGAATAGTTTCTTGGTATGAAAAACCAAAAGTATAAGTAAGATCCAAATTGTATAGGTGATAATGTGAAATATGAAGAAAAGGGCTAAAGGAGTAGAGGAAGTGGGAAGGGTAGTGGAAAGGAAATAAAGGAAAAGAAAAAAATATGAGTAAAGGAAAAAATGGAAACAAGGTCGCTGTAAATAGGAGAGGGTAAACAGGGTGAAGGGAGGGCAGGAGTATGGGGAAATAATGAGAACCAAAATCTGTCATGTAAAGGTACAAGATCCCTGGGGGTCAGGGATTTAGCTCAGTGATTCTGCTGCCTGCCTCGCAAGCACAAGGACCCGAGTTCGATCCCCGGTACCAAAAAAAAAAAAAAAGGTACAAGATCCCAATGATGAATGTAACTGTACTATACACTTAAAAAGTCCCAATAAACTAAAACAAAAAAAAGTTCTGCAGATTCAGTTTCAGCTGGGCATGGTGGCACACACCTAAAATACCAGCTAACCAGGATGATGAAGCAAGAGGATGACAAGTTCAAAACCAGTCTGGCCAATAAGTGAAACCCTGTCTCACAATAAAATTAAAAGTTTTGGGATACAGCTGAGTGGTAAAGCAACTTTAGGCTTAATTCCCAGTACCATTTTTTAAAAAAGTTTAAGTCCTGCTCTTGAACAGCAATCTAAATCTTAGTCTTCAGTCAAACTTAGCAAATATTTTTTTTTCTGCTTTCTTGGATTTTTGGTGAGGATTTGCTATAATAACATCTTTATTATAAGGTAATCAGAGAATAAACAGACACATTGTCTCTGTACATTTTCTTCTGAATTTAACAAATTCAAACATAAAAAAGAAAATCTGGTACACAAACATACAAAGCTACGAAATTTTTATGACACAAGCTTTAAACTCTATCTCAGTCAAAACAAAAGATAGAATATATTCAATCTCAGAAAAAGATCAAGTAAGATCTTGTACTTACAAAAATTGAGTAGATAGTATATGGTAAAATTTACAAGGTAAAAATATTAATAGCTAAAAGAAATAACAGTAATAATATATATCTTTGGTCCCCCAACATGAAATATTCTTGTTAAGATCTTATACAAAGATCTAAAGTACATCATCCTTATTCAAATAATTCAATGTCAACATCTGTCCTTGCCATAGACGCCAACTGGCTCAGTAGACAGTAGCTATGATCTTAAAGAATATCCAAAGGCTCCATGTTCCTTTCATAAAGCTATGTCTTCACATGAGGGAGAAAGGATCTCCACTGTGCTTACTGCGTGCTTACTCTCTCCTTATACCTGTCTCTATAAGCAAACCGAGGGAAATTTTCCTCTGTACTCCTTAGTAAGATGTGCAAAAGCTGTCATTAGGTCACTTTAGGTAGAAAATTTCATCACAAGAAAGATGCTAATAAAATATTAGGTCCTAACATTGGCCCTACGCCCCCCAGCACTTAACTCTAATTCAGTTATTCCCTATAAAAGCTTGGATATGAACAAACTGATCATATCCACACCAACTGCCAAATAATCAAGCCAGTTTTAACTATTTAGATTACTAAAATCGCATCACTGGGACTTTTCAATATAGTATCTTCAAATGACTCTTCCACCGTAATATTAAAACTCACATAACTCCATAGCTAAATCTTGGAAGGAGCCTATATATCACCAACAGAGGAATGGATAAAGAAAATGTATTTATATACAATGGAGTACTACTCTGCCATAAAGAAGGATAAACTTAAGTCATTTGTATGAAAATGGTTGCACTTTGAAACCATAATGTTCAGAGAAATAAATCAGACACACAAAGTTAAATATTGCATGGTTTTTCTCATATGAAAAACCCAAAATATATATAAAGAGCAAAATAAAAGACAGACAATGGGAAATAATAAGATAGATCTTTCACAAATGGGAAGTGAACCAGGAAATGGAGGGAGGGGCGGTGACTAGAAGAAAATAAGATTAAGGTGGGGGGGTGCCTGGTCTGGGGATGCAGCACAGTGGCGCCACACTAAGCCTGCCTGGCAAGCACAAGGTCCTGAGTTTGATCCCTGGTACCACAAAAAAAAGGGGAAAGGGATTGTGATGTGCTATGTACACATACCAAGTACCTACCAGGAATGTGATCTTTAAGTACTACAAATAAGTACCACCAAAAAATATATGAAGGGGTCCAGAGACAGAGGGAGGAAGAGAAAGAAGAATGAGACAAATAGAGAATTAAGATGTATTAGTACGTGTACCAACTCCCATAATGAATGTAATCATTATGTACTGTAAACAAGTATCAATAAAAAAACTCACATAACTGACACTAAATTAAATTTTTTAAAAAGCATTAATTGAAAAAATTTGGAGATAAGAACCCATACTTGATTACCTGACTCTAAACTTTCAATTTTAAAAATTCAATTATTTCTTCCATTTACCAATGAATTTACAGATTCTTCTTTGATCCTTCATCGGTAGTTAAGTGTTCTCTCTCAAAAATGTACAGCCCACAGTACTAAAGTCAAGAATTACCTTTTATATAATGAATGCTTACTTCTCTATCAAATCTATTAAATTAGAAATTCTGCAAAACTAGTTTACTTTAAAAATTAAAAAGTTAGGGGCTGGGAATTTAGCTCAGCGGTTCAGTGACCTGCCTTGCAAGTGCAAGGACTGGAGTTCAACCCCTGGTACCAAAAAAAAAAAAAAAAAATTAAAAAGTCAACCCTTCCTGCCTCACAAGCACAAGGTCTTGAATTTGATTCCAGGTACCAAAAAACAAACAAAAAAAAATCAATCTTAAAAAGAGTCAGCCTTAAGGGGGTAAAAAAATCTGCTAGCAAAAGTAAAAACATCATGGAATTAAACTTTGACAAAGTATTTTATAGAGAAAAGTAGCTCTTGAAGACTGTATTTTAGTTTTCAAATGCTGATTAAAAACAAAAATATGCTGAGTGTGGAGGCACACACCTGTAATACCAACACTTGGGAGGCTGAGGCAGGAGCATTCCCACAAGTCTGAGGGCAGTCTAGGATACACAGGGTTCAAGGCCATCCTGAAATACAGTAAGACCCCCCCCTCAAAAAAACAAAACAAAACAAAAAAATCAAAAGCAAAACAGACCAACTTACCAATAACTGATGCTCCTCTTTCTGCAAAAGCCAGGGCATAGGCTCGGCCTAATCCAAAAAAAAAAAAAAAAAAGTCAAAGGAAATGTCAGCATAATTATTTTGGCCCATTCAACTCAAATCACCATTTTAAAATAAGTGAGCAACTACTTACAGTGCAATACTAGTCTTCATAGGAACTCCCAATTCTACTCCATCTCTTCTGCTTGCAGACATTAGAAAGTTTAAAACTACATTTTCCACTATTCTACCAATCATTTCCAACCTTCCCACCTACCTGCCAGATGTGAACAGGGTTCTACTATCAGAGTTCCATAAAACTTGAGACAGTAGGAATGAGGCAGAAACTATCTTACTGTAATTCTATTACTGTTAAACTGATTTTTTTTTTAAAACAGTAGAGGTAACTTACTGGGAGCTTCTTCAACCACAGATGGAAGCTTTCATACCTCACATTTCTGATATCCTGTGACCAGATGGGCTGTGAGAGCACACCAATGACAACCTCAAAGGTACTGTGTCCTCTTCCAATATTCTAAAGAGGTCCTGCCTAAAACCTAATTTGCTGTATTAATTTACTGCTTAAGTATCAAGTGAATTTTATATCCTGCTGTGATCCTTGACTATACAATTACCAAATACAAAAAAACTTAATGCCCACTCAAAGCTATGAAGTGTAAAATACGTGCTCAAAGAGGTGTATGTACACATATGTGTAACTTATATGTTTTATAATAGCATGCCATAATTTAGAATATCTAAGAATGAATACAAGACATTAGCAATGAGTGGTTACATTTGGGGAATAGAACCATTTGGCTAGCAACCAGCTTAAAAGTCTTATTTTTGTATTGTTTTAAAATGTGCACATTTTAAAATTTAATTGAGAAATTTCACTGATAATTTTTACTTACACTGATAATTTCAATCGATTGATAAAAAATTATGCAAACAACTGAGACAGATAACAAGTTCAAGTTCAACCTGGGCAACTTAGCAAGACCCTGTCTCAAAATAAATAAATAGATAGATAGAGGCTGCAGGTATAGCTTGGAGGAAGACCACTTGCCTAGCATGTGCAAGGCAATCCCCAGCACATGAGGAAAAAAACAGAATAATACAGTAACATAAATTATCACTGAGATGGATAAATTATTAGGCTTCCTCCCCAAAACATGTTTTCCAAAACTAGAAGCTATCACTAAATGATTTATTTTAGTATTTCATCTGCTCTGAATAGATAAAACTCAGCCAAATTATGAACAGGTGCTAGGATCATTCCTAATTATCTCGTGTACAACTCATTAATGTTCCACCATGTTAATGTGGTGGACTGCAATTAGTACTTATTAAGTAAGAGAGAAGAGAGAATTTCATCGCGTACTGAATTGACTATGTACTGGGTCATGAACTTATTTCAAATACAGATAAGGTGTATGTGCGTGATACATATATGTAAACATGTGCTGTGTACTTGGTCCTGATATGAAACATACAATCAGTCACTGTCAAAAGAAGTTAAAACATCATTTCCTCAAAAGTAAAGTGTAGAGAAAATGTTTTCTCAAAAACTTCAGTAGAATGAATATAGCTTTGGTTAATAAAATACTTAGTCACCAATTAATACTCAAACGATCTGAAAGGCAGCCTAAGGATTCATTTTATCAGTAGAGCTGTGAAAGTATATAGGAGTCAGCTGGCAGAATTCCACTGTTGGTAACTTTTAATATGTAATTAGAACGGGCTGGGGATTTATCTCAGTGGTCTTGCTGCCTGCCTTGTTCAATCCCCGGTACCAACAAAAAACAAAAAAATATGTAATTAGAATTCATGCATTAAGGCCCTCTTAGGTATAGTGCATAAAGTTAGGATCCCCGTGCTTGAAGGTTCCATTAGTGGGAAACTACAGTAAAAGTCTCACTGCAGAGCATCTATGTGGTTATGAGTGGTTTGATGTTTTTTCTTTTAGAAATGGGATTATTTGACATAACAATTCTCCACTTTGGTTCTCTTGAAATATGGAGAAATCTGGCAACTTTCTCCTTGGCTGGTCCACTTCAGAAATGTCTCTGCTCTGAAGTTCTTCACCCTTCCCAATCCATGCCAGTTTTTTCCTCTATCATCTACCTCATTCAGCCCTGCAAATATTTGCCTTTACCACCTCTGCCAAGACACTTGTAGACTTTTGAGAATAGTGCACGGGTTGCAAGCACACACTACAGACTTCAAGAAGGAAGGCTCTTTTCGGACAGGAACCCTCCGGAAAAGCTTTCTGAGAATTTAAAACCCTATGACAGAAGAAAAGAAAACACTGCACGAATGACTTTTCACAGCAGTGAGGCTGACATCTTGACTCCTCATGTTAATTCCAGGGAGATTTTTCAGGCTTTTAAGAAACCTGACAGGCCAAAGAGACTCTCAGGGCAGGAAGAGTGATGATCCAAGCTCTCAAAAGAGCCAAGTTTTCCAACGAGCAGAGACTCCCAGCCTCTGCCCTGCAGGACTTACTCTGCAAGGTCAAAGGAGAGAGGCTGCCCCCTCAGGTTGCCAGGGCCTTCCGACCCCCGTCTCCATTCAGGCCAGCCCAGCCCTCCCAGCTGTCCTCCCCGCCCACCACCTGCCCCAGCCCAGCCCAGCCCCACGCTAGGGGCTGGACCGAGCCGCAGCAGCCCGGGGTTCCGCCCGAAAGAAGCCCGCAAGGGGTGAGGCGCGCGCCGTCCTCCAGCTCCGGGTCTCACCTCCCCCAGCACCGGTGACCACCACGACGCGACCGTGGAACCGCAGCGGGGAGCCCATAACCGCGGCCGGCAAGTCAGAAGCCGACTGAGCCTGGGTCACCAAGTTATGGCAGCTGTCGCTGGGGCGGGGCGGGACATGCGCGTAGTCCGCGGGCTGCCGGGAGGAAAACGGGCGCTTATTTTCCAAGTGCGCCTGTCCAGAGTCGCCTGGAACTCTGGGAAACGTAGTCCCGCGTCAGTCCGTTCTCTCAGAGAACCTAGCCAAAGGGCTTGACTCAGAAGAGTCTGCTGCCACGGAAGTAGAAGCTGCCACCAAATGTGTAGCAAGTGGCTAACTCGGCTGCTATGCTCGTCCATTCCCCTGTGGTTATGCCATTCATTCAACAGAAGTTTTGTAGGTTTGGGTGCAGGTCTAGCGAAGTAGCGCACCGCCCCAATCCCTGAGAGATTCAGATACAGCCTCTAGAAAGGAAAGTTCTCTGCAGGGACCATAAAGACACTTCAAAATGTAATCCTGGCGGCTCCTGCGTGAAAATCATATGGGAACTATGCAGAGTCCTAGACTGGACTTCCACCACTGACCTGAAATAGAATCACAGGGAACAAAACAACAGTAAAAAAGGTTAACAGGTTTTCCTCCAAGAGTTTTCGAGAACAGTCATCAAGTGTCATTTATTCATTCATTCATTCATTCATCATTTACTGAGCATCTGCCAGGCTTTAGACACAAGTTTACAGATAATTGATGCAGTCTTTGAAGCTACTCCAAATCGTGAGGTAAATTTTCAGTGATAGTGCACCCCGTTAAGACTTTGTGATGCAAGGAATATAAACATGTACTGTACTGAAAATGTAGAAATGAAGGGGATCAAGACATAGAAGATGGAGGGAAGGGAAAAAGGACAAAAAAAGGAATTGAGATGTATTATGTACATGTACCACCTCTCCACAAGGAATATAAACATTATGCACTACTAGGAAGTACTAATACATTGTTTTCATACTGGGGATCAGACTCAGGACCTTGTGTTTGCAAGGCAGGCGGCAGCACCATTAAACTAAATCCCCAGCCCTGTACTGTGGGACCCTGACCACTGTGTAGTCCCCAGCTAGTCAGCATATAGTCATGCACATTTTTTTCTGCCCTGCTTCCAGATAAGATTAAAACAGAGTGTGTGGGAGCCTAGTACAGGTAAACAAGATAGTGACTCAAGGCCTTTCAAGAACAGAACAGCCTGAGGTCTAGAGATGATCAATGTAAGAGACCAGGCGTGCCCTACACCTGACCCCCTTAGATAGATAGCAAAAAACTGACCCCTGACCCCTTGCCCACTTGCTGTGCTTGCAATCTTCTCCCCCTTGCCTTTAAAAACTGTGTAAACCCCTGAACTAGTGCCTGTCAGAGCTACTTGGCTCAGGGAGTGCCATCTGGCCAGACCAATAAAGGTCTGTTTTCCAACTAGTCCAGTGTGTTCCTTCTTGGGTGATTCTCGCTGCTCGTCAAGCCCCCAGAGCCATCGCTGGGCTATAGGCCCCAGCATCTTAGAGGCCCTTTCGGCTGTCCAAGCTCCTGGAAGTAAGACCCAAGGTCTTGCATCTGGAGCCATTGCTGGGCTATAGGTCTCAGCATCTTAAGGCCCTTTCAGCTGTTCATGCTCCTAGGAGTGGAAGTGAGACTTTAGGTCTTACAGTACTGATAAAGTTTTTAAGAGACTCTGGAACAGGTGTGTAGAAATAACAACTGATGGAGCAAATTAAATGCACCTTAATCCCCTTGAAGGGAAGGAGGGAAAACTTGACAAATGAAGTGAAACACAAGTGCCTAAAGAACTGAGCCCTATAAAGAAAGGTGGGCATTATAGGCAGGGGGAACACTGGCTAGGTGTGGGGGAAAAAGAGTGTGAAGCCACACAACTAAGCTGAGCCAGAAAGATCATGTTTATATATTTTAATTTCATGCAAAAATGAGTTTTGAGCAGGATTATGCCAAAGGGTAATCAGAACATATTTATATCTTGGAAAGATCACTTCACCCCTTATGAGAGGGTTGATCAGATTAGGCAAGAGCATATTTTTTTAAATGGAGTAATTTATGAACAACAGAAGTAGAAAACTGTGCAATTTATTTGGAAATGAAGTGAATATGTTTTTATTTAATTGGATGTAGATACAAGGGAGAAGCAACTGAAAAAATCACATTTCTGGCTTAAAAATCTAGTTTATGGTAAGCTATTCATCAAAATAAGGAACAATGGGAAAAGAACAGCTTTTGTAGGGGAATGTGACCTCAATTTTAGACAAACCATGTCTGACAATAGGAAGTAAAGCTTATGTCTACAGAGGCCTACCAGACAGCAGTGGTTCTGCTCTAGAAATATGGTTTCTATGCTACAACAACACAAGAGAGATCTCTTGGTAACCAAGCCTCTATCTCCAAAGTGCACCTCCTTTTATTGACTGCCCTACCTCACACAAGAAAACTTTGTTCTCTTACCCATCTGTGTACATCTGCCTTTGACTCTTGCATTCTGGTTTTGACTGAAATCCAGGAAGACATTCTCAGAGGGGCACTAAACTCAAAGACAGGAGTTGGGTGTAGCTCAGTGGCACATTTAGCTGGCATGACCCAGGTCAATCCCCAGCACCATGAAAGAAAAAAGAAAAGAAGGAAGAAAGGAATGAAGGGAGGGAGGGAGAGAGGAAGGAAGGCAAAAGGGGAAAGAAAGAAAGGAGGGAGGTAGGAATGGATGGGAGGAAGGAAATGAGAGAGGCATGAAAAGCAAGAAGAAAGGCAAAATGAAAGAAGGGAGGAAAAAGGATAGGAAAGGAAAGAAAACCCTTGAGAGTTTCCCAAACAGGGCCAATTTCAGTTATCATCATGATGACATTCCTTGGGCTTTAATCCTTACATAAAAGAATTAACCTGGGCTGGGCATTTAACTCAGTGGTTCTGCTGCTTGTATTGCAAGCTCAAGGCTCTGAGTTTGATCCCCAGCACCAAAATAAAAAAAAAAGAGAGAGTGAGAGAGAAAGAATTAACCTGAAATAACCAGACAATAATCAAGTAAGCAGTAATTTTCCTATTGTCTTGTCTTCCTGTTCCTGCTTCAGGGAAAGTAATTTTGAAATGATGAACCAACTTTTACTTTCATTTATCCTTTCTTCAAAAAAGCAGAAAACCCAAACTCCTTTCTTGAACCATTAGAGCATTTTATTTTATGAACCAAAGTATTACCCAACTGTAGAATAAAAGATGATTAAGAAGGAATAAGAGGAGAAGTTGGAAAGAACATTCTACAAAATACTTAGAAACGAAGATAGTAAGTCTTTGTTATTAATGGGAGATGCATATGTCTTCAAAATCAACCTCCTTTGCTTGGACCATCAGAACAGTTTATTTTATGGGCTGGAGTGTTGCCTAATTTTGGAGTTTAAAAAAACTCAATTAATTTAAGATGGTTAAGAAGTGGGTGCAGTACACCACAGCCTTTCACCAATGAGGCAACTGCCCGAAGGCCCATTCTACCTTTCACCCCATTTCCAAGCACAAATCTACCCAGGCAGCTACCCTGGGTTCAGATCAATGATTATCTCCTTTCCTTAGTGAACATGAGGAACACCTGGCAGCCTAGTCTGTGGGCATTTTTCATTATGGGTTTAAACTGAAATTAAAAAGTAAGCAAAGAACATGGCCATTTGAAAATCTGAGTTTCAAAGGTAAGCCTGTGTGACAGCTCAGTAAATATTGGTGTTTATCCTTTCTTCCCCTCTGGGGAAGCTGATGCAACTAGAGCAACTGAACAGAGCAAAGTCTTCCCAAGGGAGGTCCAATAAGGAAGCCTGCAGAGTTAAACAGTAATCCTTTTGCCAAGCTCCATTGGGGATCACGTTCCCAGGTCACCACTGTGGAATATCTGTTTAGATTATACGTCCATAATCTTTCTTCTTTAATCCAATAACTCACTATTTTGATTCTTTAAAAAGTTAAAATGAGTTATTCCTACTTTCAAAAATTAAGTGTAAATTAACTCATTGAAACCTAAGAAAAGGTAGGTTTGCAGCAGGAGAAAAGCTGGACTACCTGGACAGAGCACTGTGACACACAAAATAGGAGCAAACTGGCTTTAATGCCGGCATCTCAGTAAGTGACTCTTGTCAGTCTCAAGAGCCCTGCATAGAAGTTTTTTCTTTATATACCTCTTTTTACATTTATGAGGTTTAATTTCATTGGAGTTTCTTTGGAAATATAGCAAGCTTAGTCTTAATGATGTATTGAAAATTGAGAGAGCATAAAGGGATACTACAATGAAACCACATTCTTTTTCTTTGTTGCTGCTCAGTTTCAGCCAATTTCCTATTGGAGAATTCCCAACCTGTTTCCTACCCCCAGAGTCTGAAAATACCAGATAATCATAATCCCAACCTCCCTTATGATCATGCATAGATTGTGATCTAAATTTGTCAATCAGATACTTCCTACTAAGGCCCTCCATTGAGAAATGATAATTGATGGAGTGAATGACGAACTATGCAGAATCTATTCTGGTAATAAAGTGGTGGAAACAGCAACAGCATAAGTTCTAGGGAGAGTGGAAATGATTCAAGGTGGTCAACCCAGAGTTCTAAGTGGCAGCTTTTAGCATCTAACTGCATGGATAATGGTCTAGTTCCAGGCTGTGGAGACTCAGAGCCTCACCCTCTAACCCCTTTTAGATTCTGTCATCTACCCTTTGTCTGCTTAATGCTTTCACACTTAATTCAGCCAGAGTCAGCTTTGTTTTTGTTTGTTTAGGGGTTTTTTGCTTATAAATAAGAACCCTGAGTGATACACAGTTATTTACAAAGTACTATCCTTAAATTGGCCATGGTTGAAGCCACATGTATGGTAATGATTTTAAACAACTGCTGTGCCTAACACTTCCTCCATTACTGTATGTGCAGGGTCTTAGAATGAAGCCCAGCAGCAGCCAATGATTCCTTCTTTAAAAGATTTCACCTGGGCACAAAGGAACCTTGGTTGATTGTCTTATCAAAATTAACTTACTCTCTCTAATATAAAAGAGATTACATTTGATACATGAAAAAACACCAAAAGTTAGTATAAAATAAGGCAAGATGATTTTTGCTCAGAGACAAGTGTTTATCCTCTCTTGCAGCAGACATCTCTGCCTAGTATTAGTAGACTCTGGTTAACTGCAACCCAGTATCAGCACCCTCTGATCTCTCCAAGTAAGACAAGCAGCATCATCCCCCTTTACATCCCTGTCTGTATATCAGGTATCCCTACTTGATGGCTGGTATATCAGCCATCACCAGAAGCTTCTGGACCTTCACACTGTATTGCCAGATATCTTAAATCATACCTTGCCCACTTTCCCATGCTTATAACCAATAAAATACTGGGTACCCTTGGCACCCCTTGTCTTTGGTGCCCAGAGAAATACTGATAAACCTTAAGACCCAGTTCTCTATAAGTCTTGTTTCTTGTCTTTACTCTTTATTATCAACTTGTGTTGTAGTGTCTCACAGGAGACTGAAGACGCTGTACCAGTCTATAGTAATGTTCTCATTCCCATTCCCTATACTTCCTTATGTTTCTGCTTACCTTTTGACAAGAAACACTAACTGCCCTTTTGTTCCAGACTATCTTGCACAAATGATCATATAATCAATGGTATAACGAACAGGAAAATCTAGATAACATTTTCCTAAGGAAAATAGGCTTGTTTACTGTCCCATAATAATACAGTAAGTCCCTGACTTATGAACATTGAAATTGCAAGCTTTCACAGATACTAATGAACCCATATTACAAACATTGGTAGACATGAGCAAATCACAGAAGTAGCTCGTTTGTCTGCTGGACATTGTCACAGTTGTCCTGCTGCATGCTTATTGTATAGTGTGATAGTGTTCAGTAGTATAGTCAGAGCCCAGAATGTTCTAAAGCAAGAGGAAAAGCAGTGGTGATGTGGAGGGGACTGCTAGGAAGTAAAAAGCAATATACACTGTATATTTGTGTTAAAGGTAAGACTCACTTTGTCAGACTTACAAATTAATCCAACTTGCAAATGTTCTCCTGGAATGGAACTCATTCATAAGTTAGACTTCTAATAATATAATGTCTCTCTTTGGAGTAAGAGTCATGTGGGTTTCCTTATAGCCATTATAAGAGATTCAGGTTTCCTAAGCCAGAATTCTTCAGATGGGGGACAAAATATTCCCAGAATTCACATAGGTCCCTCTGCCTATAAATCCTGAGACATGGGGGACAAGGAACCAATTCAAGCATGAAGCTCATGGCTGTTGCCATGCTATGAACAATAAAAATCCTTTATATCTGACCCTAGAGTATCTCAGCATCCATTGAACTGTGCTAGGCTAACTAGTAAGCTTGCAAGTAAAATACAATCTTAGACCCTTCATAATTCTTTTTTTTTCCCTAACACAGGGTCTTGCTATGTAGTCCAGGCTGGCCTTGAACTCATGATACTCCTGCCTCAGTCTCCTGAGTGCTAGAATTACAAGATGTGCCACCACATCCATCTTCCCTTCATAATTCTTCACAAATCCATGTTAAAAATAATAAATGGCATATTGTGTAAAGAAAAGAGCTCATAATTCCTATCAAAATATCATAGAAGACTTCAAAAGGTGGAAGGCATTTGATCTAAGCTTCAGAGATTTAGGTAGATGTGCCATTCATTGGAAAAGGAAGCCCAGGAGGAGGAGCGAGTTTGTGATAGATAATAGATAGAAAAATAGGGGAAAGAGGGTGCGATTGATGAATTTGGCTTCATATACGAATTTCAAGGTCCAAGTGAGGCTATTTCATGGACAATCCAGGAAGCAATTGGACAATTAAGTTTGTAAATTGAAAAAGAAGAGTTTAAGTTATAGAAGAGACCAACATTAAAAATAGAATTGGAAGTTTTTGAGTACATGAAGTTATTTAGCTAGAAAACAAAGAAAGTGTGCAGGAATGGGGTTGGGCATGGAATTCCCACCTATCAGATCCAGGAAGGAAAGAAAGGTGAGTGTGACAGTGACCAGAAAAATACAGTATCCATCCAAGGCACAGTGGAAAGTGGAGAGGTCCATAAAAATCAGATGCCACAGACAGCATAATTGGAAAAGTGTTGTCTTCACAAGTTGACCTTGAATCAATCACTACTTCTGGAGAAGGGGAAATTTTCTAGATCTTATGCTATGTTTTAGCCTCAGCCACAGCAAAGAGATACATTTCTTCCCTCTATCATAAAGATGTATTTAATATCTCTCCCCCTAAAAAAGTGAAATGGCCAATTTGAAAAGAACCAGAGACATTTGCTGAACAACATGTGCTAATGCATAAAGGATACTATGATATAAAGGCAGTATTCAGGCCCCACCATAATCCTTGGTCACTTTCCATGCATATAAAGAGTGGATTGTTCAGTTTCCCCATGCCTTTTAGAACTACTGAATAACAGGACATCGATGGCTCTCAAATAATAGAGTCACATAGGATCAGGCCCTCATCTGTGAGAATCCCTGCCTATACTTTGTTCCAGTTAAAACCCTAAACCCCACTACTTTTTGCCCTCAGAACCTGGCCCCCTGACCATGACTGCTTCAAGGTCACCAACGAGTTGTTCTCCAGTCATCCAGATCTGCAGAAAGACCCACTGCCTGATGCTGATTTCATCCTCTTCAAAGATGGGAACAGCTTCATGGAAAATGGGGTATGCTATGCTGGCTATGCGGTGATGACTCAAGATGGAGTGGTCCAAGTGGGACCCCTCCCCACCGGATGGTCAGCTCAGTGAGCAGAGCTATGGGTACTCATACAGGCTCTCTGATGGGCAAAAGGAAAGAGGGTAAATGTTTATACAGATTCCTGTTTGTCAATTTGCATATTTATGGCACAGTCTATAAAAGTGTGATCTTCTCACAGCAGAGGGCAAACATTGAAAATAAACAGGATATAATATAGTTTGAGGCAATGTGGAAATATGACAAAGCAATAATTCATTGCTCTGAACACCAAGGAGGAAAAGAAACAATAGCAAATGGCAATACTAAGGTAGACATATAAGCCAAAGGACAACTAAATAGAAACTTTAGATGATTATAACCACCCCTTGTAAAGTTTATAAATATGTCTTGGTATGGGTTTGTACTTATTCTGGATGGCCTGAGGTCTTCTCTATAAAAGCAGAGAGGGCTTCAGAGGTATACAAGATTTTATTAAAGCAAAAATTTCCAGGGTTTGGTCTGCCTCTCTCCAGAGGCAATGACAATGGGCCAGCATTTGTAGCAGAGGTTGTACAAGATCTAGCTAAATGTTACATGTAAAATGGTACTTACATACTGCTTATTGGCCTCAGAGTTCTGTTAAGATTAAAAGGAAAAAATCGTACCATTAAGGAAATATTAACTAAATATTGTCAACCAACACCAGGGTTATGGCTGATCTTTTGTTCTCTTTGGCCTTCCTTAAAGTAAGAAATACCCCAAGTCATACTGGGTTCTCCCCATATGAGGTCTTGTTTGGAAGGCCACCCTGTATATTAAGAGACTTTATGGGAAACTTATCTCAATTGAGCTCATCCAGTATGGAATTACAGCTGTTAAAATTGAGCAAAATGTTCCAAAATATTCTAGGGCAAATTAGAAATAAAGAGGACCTTCCTGTGCTAACTCCTGCCCATCTGATAAAACTGGGGACCTAGTTTATGTTCAAAATTGGAAAAAGGGCCCTTTGCAACCTATATGAGAAGGACCATATGAGGCACTTATGGTTACTCCCACAGCTGTCAAGGTGACTGAAGTCCAGCCATGGATTCACCACTCTAGAGTGAAATAATCGAGAACTCCATGGACTGTGGCTCCAGGAGACAGAGCACTCAAGGCCCTGCTCTCACCACACCGGAAGTTGATGAGTCCACACACAGCTGAAGAATGAGGACAGCAATCAAGATATTATGGACTCTTTTATTGTGTCAAATTGTTATGAGCTATTTTGTTTTTTAATAAAGATAATAAGCCTAAAGATGCTGTTTGATAAAAATATGTGACCTTTTGTTAAATGGGAATAGGAGGGACATTCCCTCATGCTTCTTTTTGATGCCTGTCCAAAAGAACTTTAAGAAAACCCTGGTAACCATACTTGAGTGTGGAGAATATACACAAAAAGATGTATTGGGTCAGATAAAGCTCAAATATGGTTAAGCAGTTCTGTCATAACCCAAAACTATTGGCAATTGTGATAACTGTAAACAGAGACAATATAAAATGTATATAGCCTTTAAAATTATATATAGCTTGGCCTTGAGGAATGAGCTGACTACAGAAAATAATTTTTATGTTTATATTGGGTATAGTCTACTGCTAGACATGGGACTCAAAAGTTAAAAAGATGGATTCTGCAGATTAAAAAGGTTTGGAAGGACCCCCCACCTCCAGAAATAGGAAAAACTCCTGCACTGCAGGAAATACAGAATATCTCAAAAGGGCATCCAAAGTTATACAGAAATTGATATAGATATGCTAAATTTGGTTGATGGTACTCATTCACCGCTGCTACAGGCAGACCTGAAATTAGTCTCTGATTGCTGGATTTGCACACCACTCACTGTGATGACTTATCAAACAATTGGCAACATGAATGGCCTGCCCTTAGAACCAGTAAAGCTTACTTTGTATCCTTTGCTCAGCTATCCATTAGATGTAATTAAGAATGGGACTTGCTTTCTTGGTATCCAAAATTCACACAATGTCTCAGTTGTCTACACTGATATTGTTGATTTGTCTTCTACCACTAGTAATTTACTCTGCCCCAAATGAGACTTCCTCTGTGAAAATGGTGTTTTTAAGGTGATTTCAAAGTGTTCTACTGGTTTATGTGCTCTGGGGATCCTAATCCCCAACTTGTCTGTCTATACTCCTTCAGTTATGAAAAAGATGCCTTTACCAAATGCTGCAATGAATGGTTTGGTTTTTTTAAAAAAAGGACCCAATTGTCCTCCCCATATTAACAAGATTGATTACAGGGAGCCTCACTCTTAAGTGCTATAGCTCTCAGGTTAGAACAACAGTTTGTGGGTTTGGGACAGGAGATTAGAGAAGACTTAAAAGAAATGTGAGATACAATGCAAACTTTAGAAAGTCACATTCATTAGCTAATACAGTATACAGAATAGAAGAGCCCTTGATTTACTCACTGCACAAAGAAGAAAAACTTGTCTGTTTTTAGGAGAAGAGTATTGCCACTATGCAAATAAGTCCAGAATAGTTAAAAATCACTGGATAGATTAAAAGATCATATTAGACTGCTATGAAAAGAGTTTGATACTGGGGACCTGACATTCAGTTTTGGCCTTAACTTGCCAGGATGGAGAGCTTGGGTCAGCTCCCTCACAAGACCAATTATTGTTATACTGCTTGTTCTCATCTTTGGTCCCTATATGGTAATATGGATATCAAAACTAATAATTTTGTTCAGATGACTGCAGAATCTGGAAAAGCTGTTGCTGCTATCAATGCATAAAATACTATTATTAGTCTTTTTATATAAATATAAATATATATACACATACATATATGTGTGTGTGTGTGTGTGTGTGTGTAT